CCCCACGATCTTTTGGCCATTTTACATACATGTTTCTTGAAAACAACAAAAATACTGTATTTTACAGTACTTCGCATACAACCATATCACAACGACTTTGCTCCCAGCAGCGGGCGCCCTACGAGCCCGGTGCGTAGTAGTAGTAGTAGTAGTAGTACTAGTAGTGGTAGTAGTAGTAGTAGTAATAGTAGTAGTAGTAGTAGTAGTAGTAGGAGAAGAGGTAGGAGTAGGAGAAGGGGTAGGAGCAGGAGTAGGAGTCGTAGTCGTAGTAGTAGTATTAGTAGTAGTAGTAGTAGTAGTAGTTGTTGTTGTTGTTGTTGCTGCTGTTGTTGTTGGAGTGGGAGTGGGTAGGAGTAAGAGTACGAGTAAGTAGTAGTAGTAGTAGTAGTAGTAGTAGTAGTAGTCGTCGTCGTCGTCGTCGTCATAATAATAGTAGTAGTCGCAGCAGTAGGAGGAGGAGGAGGAGGAGTAGTACCTACTTTCCTTGCATTTGTAGTAGTTACATCAAGTATTCGTGTACTCCTCTGAAGTTCATTCCGGGGACATACTCGCAGCAGTACAGCCACCACCAGAGCTTCCATCCCATGGAGCCACTGGAAGCACCTCCCAGGGCGGGGCTTTGAGGTTCGGGGTGCTGTTTGTGTTTCATTTCTATAAAAAACTATGCTTGGCTTCCCTGCTCCGGTACAAGTATATAACTTCGCTATGACCACTTCTGGATGTTGCCGGACAGGAGAAAGGTTGCCAGGAGTTCCGTTTTTAAGTTGGAAAGCTACAGCAAAAAACACGCGAGTACTTTTGCTTCACATCATCATGACCTGGGCAGCCGGGTACGCCAGAAACAGGCTTATGCGTTGAACTCAATCTCTCCCTCTCTCTCACACACTCAGGCACCTGATAACCGAATAACTTCGCGAACCAGAAAGAAAACTACTGCAGTCCCATATATTTGTGCATAAACCTACTCACACATAACACCTTTGATGTATGCATGCATGTATGTTACTAATGTGCATGCATGCATGTGTCGGGTACTCACTCGACTTGCAAGGAAGCCCTCATTTCGAAATCTGTTGGGGGCTGCATCACTGAAGGGGTTGGGCTATTGAAGGGTAGACTAAACCTCTTCTCCACAACCGAGCAGCCAAATACCCCGAACCCTAACAGCCCTTCTGCCCGAACCAACGGAAGTACCCCCGGAGAGTAGATTCAAAACCGTGAAATCAGCGGCCGCCGGGCCTCCCCAGTCCAGAATGCCGAGGTCCAGAGCACCTGCTTCATGTGGGGTTTCGACTCAGGCAAGGCTTCACGGCCACTGGTCACGGTTTAGGGTTTATTGGGCTTCGGGACCAGGAACAAGTGAAAGGGCCATGGAGTTTACGGCATGAATTTCGTTCGGGTCTCGGGCGTAAACTTAAGATGAATACTCATGTCTATACTTAGCTGCCAGGGTCGGACTGCACAGGTCTCTTTGACACTGGCACGAAACCGAGCAGATCCTCAGATTTCGTTACCCCGCTCAGGTTACAGATGGAGTTCATGTGCTTTTTGTTGAAGGGTCATCGGCACGCTCCGCTCTCAAAAGCCGAGCCTGTCTAGGATACTGCATCTGTGAGCCTTCACGGAAGCAAAGCTAGCAACCTTGCAGCCTGTCGGTACAGTAGCGATGTTCCGGGCGTACATGGTGTGGGTCCGCAGAACCCTTTACCAGCAGTCACTCTGGACGGATTGGGGTGGTGCAAATCAAACACGGATCGCTTCTAACGGGGGTAGCAGCAATCCATGTCTGTCTCGCGCGGCAATGCTCCTAGATGGTTCCGACAAGAACAGTAGGCTGACGACACCCCGCTGGGACTGCGAAGCTAAGGACTGTGACGAAGCTCTGCCGGTAGCACCCTCGGCGGTTCGCCAGAAGAAGACATTATCCACGTTCAGGTTGCCGTGGCTCCATGCGATGTAGTCCTTATTGATGTCAGACAGAGAAACGGAGCAGTCTGCAACGGAGGGAGCAGTCTGCATGAGAAAAACATTGCAGGAGGGTGAATTAGAGTAAACCGGAGCGCACTGGGGACTTCGAAGCATCAAGCTCAACCAACGCAATCAGCCCCTTGTTAACATGCATGGACATTATCATATCTCTGAGCACGACATCCTTACACACGTGAAACGGCATCCACTAGTCAACCTCGGGAGAATCGCTTTTCAGGTTTAGTCTGTCAGCATTCGGACATGTCCGGCGAAGCCTGAACTTGCACGGATGGCCCAAAGCCAAGGCACGGGGTTGCGGTTGCACCACCAGACAATCTCTGCAGCATACGCATTCGCAGTCGTGAGGATCTTCCTTGTGTGCCGTGGGGATTGTTCCAAAATTCTGTGATTCGGAAAGCCGAGCTTTAGAATACGAAACAACACAAGCATATTTTTGAAGAAACCGCGAAAAGGCTTTAGCCGATCACACGAACTGCGACAAGAAATGCAGTATTCGTACGAATCCTGCAGTGTGTCGAGTCGAAACGGCGTGGAAGGCAATAACACGTAGTGGGGCTTAGGGTTTATAAGTGATTAGGGTTTAGGGGTTTATGGAGCGGACTAAAGCATCACCTGGTCAAAGATTTCATGCACCAGCCACTGTGAGCCTTATGCAGAACCTTGACAATTAGAACAAGGCTTTTGGCTTTGGGGTTCATTACACTCTCATTATAGTCTAGCATCATTGCGGCTTATATTGGTTCCTCAAGCCCCTGGGTAGTTCTCTAAATTCGGGTCCCTTTTGGGGTACCCTAAATAATAGGTGCCGTATTATAATAAGAACCCCAAAAGGGACCATAATTTTGACAACCACCCCCCTGTATTCTCGCAACCAAGGCTCTTGTAGGACTCGATGAATTTCGGCGTGGAGCACTCGGCGGGAAAGAGCGCCTTTCCTCGCATCAGGGGAGCGGCAGCAGGCCACAAGGCGCTCAAGAGTTTCGGGGGCTGTCGGGTTAGGGTTTAGGGTTTAGGGTTTAGGGTTTAGGGTTTAGGGTTTAGGGTTTAGGGTTAAAGGCAAGAAATGTACGACGAATTACGACAACAACCAAGACGAAAACTGGGTCTGCGGTTGAGGGTTACAAGGTTTCCGAGGTGTGTCTTACGACATATGGGGGTTTCCGACAATAGAGGACCCTAATTTAGTACCCTAAATACTAAGATCCTTATTATAAGGCCCCCAAAATAAGGTACCTCCAATTTTCGGAAAGTCCCATATGCGCATCTGCCAGCCCACCGAGAAGACTCACCTTGAGTTGAAACATGAGGCTCGAATGCTACAGCTTCTTTGGTTCCCGACGGCTCGGGCAGCACGGTCCCCGGGTTTTTTTAATGTAATTATTTGGTGTAAAATTGCAGTTGTTTTTTTCTTGTCTTACGTTCAGTGTTATCGGACTAGCTTGGGCAATAGGTTCACATGCTGCGCTCTCTTTTAGGCAAGATGATTTAAGTTTTGATTCCAAGGTCGGACGCCTAAGGCGTAATCCTAATTCTAATGCTCCTGATGATGAAGCCGCTGCTTTCCCTGGAACCGAAAGAAAGCTCGGTCGCTTTGGCTGGAGCGGCCGTTATGCAGTAAAGATAGACCCCAAACCCACGACCATTGGGGTCATCTCTGCTTTTTTGGGATGGCGTGGAGGGTGTGGCGGCGGCAGCTCTCGGACGAAACGTTTCCAAATGCTCGCACCATTAGTACGAGTAGGTACCCCCCAAGTACAGATTCAGATTCGTAGTCAGGTTGCTGAAGCTCGCTTTTTTGGAATGACTTAACTGCACGAAGGCTTTTTCTTGCTGGTCTCACTCCGTGACACTCTGGCATGCTGATACGCCCAAGGCGGACATGCATCTACTCCAATGCCGGGACTGTTAACTGCGTAGTGAAAGACAGGGCACGTGTCTGTGCTGCAATTCCACCAACATTCTATTGCTTCTCTACATGCATTCTCGCGAAGCAATAAAGCAAGCGAACAACATTGAAACAAAAAGCCAAAAGCTCCGTTTCCTGAACCGCTTCCGTCCTGTGGTGCCGATGAAATCCGCACCCATCTTCAGCTTTACCTTCAACTCACCCTCGCCCATGCCGGTGCTCTCCTCTGGACAGGTAGGAAAGGAAGCTACGCGTGATTTCATCAGATGACCTGTGACTAGGTTGATTGCTGAAGAAAGCATGAAGGCATCTTTTTTGCACTCTGGGGTCCTGAGTAACTACTATTCTCTAGGGTTCCTGAGAGTATGATATACCCGAAAAATAAACCGAAACCCCATAATATGCCCCGAAGCCCTCAACCCTAGAGGCCCTAGAGGCTGCAAAATAATCGCCGAAACCCTCCTGAAGCCTTAAACTTCCTAAACCCTGGTCAGGGGATCGGGGTTTCGACTCGCAAGCCTCGCACAAGGCAGGCAAGGCTTCGCAACAAGTCTGAAGGACGGAATCACAACTACAGATGATCAGGGTGTCGAGTTTCAGGGTTTCGGCGTTTTCATGGTGACAGTGTTGGCCATGGTGTCCGAGGCCATAGTTTTGAAGGGTTTAGGGTTTAGGGTTTGGGGGCATGAGGTGAGTGGATCTCAACCACAACATCCGAGATCAATTCAGGCGCCAGGCCTTTCTCATGCCGTACATCTCCTTGGGCTTAAAACCCGGGCCGAAGAAGCTGTCCTGAGTATGCGGGAAACACAAACCTAACCCAAGCACCCTTACATACCATAGAAGCATAAAGAATTGAAGTACCTATAGTATTTTAAGGGTTCCTCATTACAATTATAGTATAATATATCCCCAAACCCTGTTCTAATTATGAAGGCCCCTAATATAGAACCCTATCATAGATCCCTTATAGAACCCTTTAAGGATCCCTTTAAAGGAACCCTATTCTAATTATTAAGGCCCCCAAATCAGGGCTGCTGGAGGACCTACTTGGGAGCCGGTGGCTCGCCTTCGGTTCACGGAGCCAGGATTTTAACGCTTTAGGGTTTTAGGGCTTTAGGGCTTTAGGGCTTTAGGGCTTTAGGGTTTTAGGGCTTTAGGGCTTTAGGGTTTAGGGGTTTAGGGTCTTAGGGCTTTAGGGTTTTAGGGCTTTGGGGTTTTATCTGGAAGGTCTTGGATCAGGCGGTTGCCCGACCTGCAAATGTTTGGTATTCACACGTCGAAGTGCAATGCAATAAAAAGCAGCTCTGGAAAACAAAGAGCCTGATCGTACAGCTGTCGGCATGCGTTGCTTGGTAAGTGGCATATGAGGCATATGCCTTAGTAACTTAGTTCATGGGCAAGAGAGCTTAAAATTAGTCGCAACTGGGCCGTGCCGCCCCAGAAAAAACCTGCCTTGGCATCCCATGTGGAGTGGTGCGCTGGAGCACCGAGGTCATTATCTGTTCTTTAAGTTGCTAAACTCAGGAGGCCGGTGCCCTTTCAAGACCCCTAGGCTGTAAACTTAAAGTGCAACGCCGAGCCCCAGAACCCCAAAGCCGTAAGTCCTGACAGTGAACTGTACACGATTTCTTTAGGGTACAGTATCCCTTTTGACCCCAAGCCCAAATCTTATCCCTGATGATAATCCTTGCAGCCAGCGGCCATGGCACTGCGTGGTGCCAGCTTCTCTGCCTGGCCGTGCATCCAGCTTCTCTTGCTGAAAACTGTTTGGCTTTCGGGTCCAGTGAGGCTTTGGGGTCGTAGCATCCTCACTATGTCAACTTCAGCGCCACACACCACGAGGGCAGAACAGCCAGCAGCATACCGCTGTAAATGCCAGGTAGAGGAGGAGGAGGAGGAAGCGACTTGCCAACACAAAACTGTGACGACGACTTTTACTATTACTAGTACTTCTTCTGGTTGCTGCCAATACCATTACCACCACTCCCGCTACGACTACTATTACTATCACTATAGCTGCTGCCACGACCACCAGCACCACCACGACCACGAATACGACGACTACTATTCCTCTTACTAGTACTACTACTGCTGCTACTACTGCTACTCCTAATCCGCTGCTGCCGCTCCCGCTGCCCCTGCTGCTACACCACCACCACCAACAACTACTACTACAATTACAACTACAACTACACCAACTACTGATATTATTACTACTACTACGACTACGACTTCGGCTTCGGCTTCGGCTTGGGCTTCGACTTCGACTTCTACTTCTTCGATTCTTCTACTGTCTTCTACTAGTACGACGACGACGACGACTACTACTACTACTGATACCACCACCACTACCACTGCCACTGCCACCGTCGCTGCCACTGCTACTGCCACTACCACTACCCCTGTCACCACGCCTGCTACGACTACTACACCTCCTGCTGCTGGCGCCACGAAGCCTTCTACTCCTACCACTCGTGCTCCTCATGCTGCGCCTGCGACTGCTACCTCCGTATAGTTGAACGAGCCACACCACCACGATGCAGATATTCCAACTCTGGTCACCGTGACTGTGAGATTGTGAACAACTCAAGCTACAACAAGGCACAAGCGGGCATCACCGATTTCTCAAATGCTGCTCAGTATATGGGTCTGGAGGGTTTTGACGTCGTCAGGAGTTGCAAAGCAATGCTGTAAATAAGCCGTCCTACAAACAAGC